CTTCGGCCTTAACTAACTAGGTCGTGCCTTCGGTGCTATTACTTTGAAGAAATTAGAGTGCTCAAAGCAAGCCTACGTTCTAGATACATTAGCATGGGATAACACCATATGATTTCGATCTTATTGTGTTGGCCTTCAAGATCGAAGTAATGATTAATAGGGGTAGTCGGGGGCATTAGTATTTCGTAGTCGGAGGTGAAATTCTTGGATTTATGAAAGATGAACAAGCTGCAAAAGCATTTGCCGAGGATGTTTTCATTAATCAAGAAAGAAAGTTGGGGGCTCGAAGACGATCGGATACCGTCCTAGTCTCGACCATAAACGATGCCAACCGGGGATTGGCGAATGTTGCTTCTAGGACTCGCCAGGCACCTTATGAGAAATCAAATTTTTTGGGTTACGGGGAGTATGGTCGTAAGGCTGAAACTTAAAGGAATTGATGGAAGGACACCACCGGGAGTGGAGTACGCGGCTTAATTTGACTCGACACGGGGAAACTTACCAAGTCTAGACATAGTAAGGATTGATAGACTGTGAGCTCTTTCTTTTTCTTTTTTGATTTAAATGTAAGTATATAAATCAAAGGTGAAACCAGCTAGGGAACCGAGCAAAAGTAACATATACATGATTTATAAAAATTAGGAATAGGCTCCCAAAGAAACCGAACCGAGCTATATCTAAATGGTTGTTCAAGGAATCAAAACTAGCGAGAGATTCCAAGAAAAGCCAAACAGGAAACTAGTAGAAGCTAGCTGGAACCATATACAAAAGCTCAACAACATATAAAAACTTAGCCGAGAAAGCAAAGATGAAGGAAAACTATCAATTTACAAAATCGGCTATGAGTACGATCGAAAACAAAACCCGGCAGAGGCGAGCGAAAAGTCGGAGCGAGTGGACGCTAAGATCGGGAAGGACAACCAAGAATCGGGTATTAGCACGGCGAAATAGGAACCTGCGGGAGCAACGGCGGGACCTCTATAGCCGACTAGGCTCGCCTAAACGAGGAGTTGGCTGGTGTTAACAACGAGAGGAAGCCGGATAGAACCAAAAGCGGCCTCTCGGTAAGAGGTAGACACCGAAGCCGGAGCTACACAAAACTCGGAGAATATAAGTGGCGGAATGATGACGATCGTTGAAAAACTCATTAGGGGGCCTGTCGATCAAAATAGATGAGCCCGGCACAAACGAAGCATGAGGTCATGGACTTGAGACCGGCGGCAAGGCCAACCGAGTAGGGCTCTTAAGTGAAGGCGGACGTCCAAACTAGGGAAAGATGCGGGACGGAGCGAGGAGGAGGCTAGGCTCGGCCTCGACTGCCGATAGGAAGGCCTAAACACGGTAGTAGACCAAGCTTGGTGAAGCTGCGAGATGGTGAGACGAAGCGAGAGGAGAACCCGAACGGGAGGTTGAGAGCGAGGCAAACACAACAAGTCGGTCAATGCGAGCCCATACGGAGGCGAGACCACGGAGGCATTAATCCAAAAGCTAACCAAACGGGAAGCTTGTAACCGGACCGACGAGAGGGTGCAAGAGAAAATAAAGGCCGAGTTGAACATAAAATCAAAGCTATCCCATATGCAATAGGTGGAGGTCCGACTCATAAGAGTAGAAAACCATGAAGAAGAGAATCCGAAATTTACGAAGCACACTCGTCAACCGAGCTTGACGAATCATCAAAGACACGCCCGTTACGTTCCTCTCGGATTACGTAGATTATGATACTTAGGGTAACCCACCTCATTCACGCTTCAAGATTGTTGCGGCGGATGGAGAGGCATCGAAGGGCTCGATTGAGCATAGTCGGACCTCTTCTAATTCCGAGCCACTTGCTTAATTTTCAACCATAGTGAAGCTATCTAGTTACAAGAGAAAAACAAATGACCATGGGATTCATTAGGTTGATGGCGGAATAGGCATGCTTCGTTGGAAGGGAGAAAGCGAAGACGGTCCTTAGTTTTTAAGGCACCTTGAGAAGCAAGCCATAGAATGAAGGAATGCCTCGGTAATGACCGGGGTTCCCAAGTCACGCGACTCCGAGTTCACTATATTCCCGAATGGTCCGAGCACGGAATACACTATATGACGAAGCATCCCTCACCCAAGTGCCACCGAGCTAGCTCTCTAATAGCTTCATCTCTGCCATTGTATTTCCCAACAAGCGAATCTTTCAAATCTATAATAGCTTTCCACAAGGGCGAAGCATTTCGATGGGCTTCCACGTCCCAAACTCGACGATCTTGCACGTAGTAATGGTGAATCCGAGTGTATCCGGATGGAGTCCGCTTTTAAGTGGATGTCTTAAAGATGCTTGAGCTATGAAACTTTGATTTTTCATTTTGATGTCAAAGAGGCCTAAACCGCCTTCGATTGTGGAAGGCAAAGGCCTTTCCAAGCAACCAATGCGGATGAACTCCTCCGCACATCTCCGAGTCCATAAGAAGTTACGACACATATTGGTGAGACGGCTAATAACCGTAGCAAGCATAGGAAAAACCGAGAGCCAAAATTGGATCTTTCCGTAGAGGACGGACACTGAGCGGCTCCAACCTCCCTGCATAGGACAAGTGCTTACCCATCCAATTTTGAATTGCGGATTCCGAGCTATGGAACGGAGGAGCAAGGCGAGTGGCAAGTAAGCGATGTAGGCTAAGAGGGACCCCCGATTATTTAAAGGGGATGGAGCCCTCATAGAACCTCGTTTCGTGGAGGATTGATTCTTTTAAGGCGTCACTCACCCCACTAAAGAAAATCAAGGACTTAACCACATTGATGGTAAGACCGGAGGTTCTACCGAAAAGAGAGAGCCGATTGGACGAAGCCGGATAGAGGCTAAATCCCCACGGTAGAGCATCAACACATCATCCATAAATGCAAGGTGGGAGATGGCATGAAACCCACATTTCGGGTGAAAGATGAAGGCTGGAGTTTCTAGTAGCTATTTGAAGCAAACGAGAGAAATATTCCATGCAAACCACAAAAAGATAAGGAGAGAGTGGGTCACCTTGCTCGACTCCTATCGCCCACGGGAAGTACCCATACATGCCCCAGATTAACCGAAATGGAATAGGAAGGCGACTCCACACAAACTGCGATCCAACTAACAAATCTAGCAGGAAACCCAGCTGTAAGAGAAGTTGATGTAGAAAACCCCATTGCACCGAGTCGAAGGCCTTACGAAAATCAATCTTCAATAGGCACCTAGGAGAGGCTCTCTTCCTCCTATATGTACGAAGCAATTCTCGAAACAAACGGATATTGTTAGCCATTTTCGACCCCCAGAAGGCGTTCGCATGGGGCTAACAAGGTCTTGTAGTACAAGGGAAAGCCTAGAGGAAAGTATCTTGGTTATCACCTTATAAACTATGTTACGGCAAGAAATCAGCTGAAGTCACTAGGACTATAAGCGTTGGGCGATTTCGGGATTAAGGATATGAAAGTGTGGCCGACCTATTTCAAGAGCTTCCCGAAACAAAAAAATGCAGTAGCTGCTGAACAAAAATCACCCCCGATAATATCCCAAGCACTGCTTGAAGAAATAAGAAGAGAAACCATTTGGGCACGGAGCTTTACCATTGTCAATGCTGAACAATGTGTTCTTGATGGTGTCTGCAGTGATCGGGGCGAGTAGAATGTCATGGCTATCCATAGGTAACGAGAGGCCCACTAGCAACAATGACTTGGGTCGAGAAGGACGATGGCCAGGAGGTACCCAAAAGGTTTTGGAAGTAAGAGACAAATTCACGACCCACTTCTTGAACTAATGTGGTAAGTCGCCTATTACGCTTTCGAAGAGCTGTGATGTGGTTGGCTTTATGCTTATGATTCATAAGGCCATGGAAGAAGTCTGGTGCCTTTGTCATAATCTTGAAGGAATTTACACTTCAATTTCGACCAAAGAACATTTTTTTCGAGGCCTTGAGATGAACCAGATTGAGTCTAAGCCTTTTCTCGACCTCGCGAGCCCCACATTATCCCTATCATTCGAAGTAAATGCGGAGAGCAACCAAGTCGGCTTTGGCTCTAGCAACTCTTTGGGAGATGTGGCTTAAGTGGAGAGTATTCGGCTACTTGAGAGGGTATTTAAGAGACTTCGACTTACAAGAAAGGACATATATGGGGACGCCCCGATTCTAGCATTCCAAACCTCGACTACTTGTTTTAGAAAAATCAACGTGGGTAGCCCACATGTTGAAGAATTTAAAGCTTCAATTTTTAGGATGGACGTGGGACCCTAAGACAACCAAAACGAGAGGCATGATCTAAAAACGCACCCGGGGGCAAAGTGAACGTGAGCGGGTAGCCAAGTGAAGGACCAAAGAGGGTTAGCTAAGACTTGATCAATTTTAGTCTAAACATCCAACCCATTCCACGTAAAGTGGCTCCCAGTGTAGGAAAGGTCGGTTAACCGAAGTCGAGCAACAAGTGCAAAAATCGGTAGTCTCATAGTTAGAGACAAGAGTGCCCTTATGCTTGTCATCTTGAGAGAGAATCAAATTAAAGTCCCCCGGTAGGAGCCCGGGCCCATTCGGCTACCACCGACGAAGATCCGCCCATAACCCTCTTCTCACAATGATGGAGTGTAAGCCATAAACAAAAGTTGCATTAAAAGAGATTTGTTGTACAAGATCGGTGAGCCTAACATTAAGGCCACGAACGGACACATTCAACATTTCAAACAATACGAGTCTTAGGATTCCAAAAAATAGCAATACGAGGCGAGCCTATAACTAAAGCATTAGACATAAAGTTCCGGTGTTTGAGCCGAAGCCTATGCATACTAACAAGCTTTGCCGAAGTGAGCTTTGTTTCCACGAAGGCATAGACATCTACCTTCTTTATCTTCATGAGACGAATCGCCTCATGTTGCTTCGAAGGACTATTAAGCCCTCCGACATTCGAGCTGGAAATGATCATGTATAGGCTGAAGAGGCTAAGCCCCTTTGATTCCCACTTACGCTCGATCGGACCCCTCCGCTGCGAGTCGCCTTGGTGCAAGTTCAGCGACTTTTGGTTCTCGTTGTCCGATCAAGGGAGCCAAAGGTGGAGGCCCAAGAGAACCGAGAACATGAATACATTCGGTTGCCACTGTCCGTGATAGCCCCTGTTATGTTAGCCCCATACCTTGCGCCGATTCCACTAGCTAAACCAATGGCTGCATGGAAAGCCACGGCTACGTACGGAGATTCATGCCTACCATCAACCCGATCCACTCGCCCCCAACCTCCTGTCCACATGGGCGGTAGACCCGGCAACGTGACTACCGACCACCCCATGCATAACCACGGCGAGCACAAAAACATTGGGAGAAGCCTAATCAAACGATGATTCTATCGGCACTCGTTTCCCTTTGATAGAAGACACCGCAAGATTGTTTTCGGCCGGAGACCGTCTCCCATCCACGAGAAGCTTCGACCACTTCGAGTAGCATGGGGTCGGTGGGCAATGGGGCTTCGACAAGATAAGGATTAGCGAAGCACCTAACTCGTGAAACACACTAGTCACGGCCGAGCCATCCGGTATTTCTCTCCTGTGGGTGGCATCCGACCTGAAGTTGGAGTCGGCGGAACTTTACACATAGCTATGGAGTGCCCATGTTTACGGTATGTTTTACAATGAGTTGGGAGAGTCTCATACACCACTAGTTGCTTGGAGTGTGGTACCATTTGGTAACAAAATGCCGATAATCCGGGGCAAAGCTTCCATAATATTCGGTTCCACAAGGACCCAAGCATAGGAAAGACGATCCATGGAAGCAGTCAATCGGTCACATTGGATTGGCTTGCCAAGCATACTAGCAATCTTTGACAAACACATAGAGGACCAGCATTTAAGCGGTAGATTAGGAAACTTAATCCAGACTGGAACGGTGGCCATCTATCGTTAGAAAAATCAAAGTATTCGGACATTGGTCGCAAGATCAAAGCTCGGCCATAAACCAAATACGATCCCTCATTGAGCCCCGAAACCTTATCATCCTCATATTTGAATTGGTAAATTAGCCACCCCGAGTCATGAATCGTTAAAAAGGCCTCACAATGCCAAGTATCCTTTATGATAGCATTCATTGCTTTGAAACACGGATTCTTACCAGCAACATATCCCACAAGACAACATTTCCATAATTCACATTTGGCATCATCATTTAGCGATGGCATTGTTTCGATTTTGTGATATCTAAAAAATGAGACAATTTAGAACACAAGGCCGAGTTTCGATTACTTACAAACAAGTCTCGCCACTTGTTAGGCTGGAGGAGGAAGGGCCACATCTCCTTTAGCCTTGGACACATCACAAGCTAGAGGCCTAATCATAGTTGCTTGCTATCTCCGGTAATGAGGAGCTAGGGGGGACACACTGCAATCGGAGAAGGGGCGGGCCTTTATGGAGAAAGATAATTCGGTCGAGCGCCGGTAGCTACTTGGCGGGAGGCGGATGTTGGTCCGGGAGCGAGAGTGAGAGAAGCGAGTTATGAAAATTTAGGTACGAGACACGTACTCTCCATCCGAAGCGGAATAATCCACCTCTTCATCACTATAATCATCCTCATCCAAGCAATCCTCAACCAACACGAGTCCGGACTTGGTTCTATGACATTGGATTAGTGGAGATTAGGTGTGGCGGAAGTGCAACATTGATTTACTAGGGTTTTCTTCGAAAGGGGCCGAGAGGGGACAATGTGCTCGCCGAGGGGGACGAGCGCAACGGGGGCTTCAAGGGCGATGACGGGGATGTCCGAATCTCGTCCAATAGTAGACTTAGGTTGTGGATTCACCGATTTCCACTTTTTCTTTGCCATGAGCGAAATGAAACGGAAAGTCGGGGAGAGAAAGAAAAATTTGGGCGAGGAAAATAAGTACACGGGGAAAGAAAAAGGGAAAAGATAAGCGAGTGTGGGGGCGGATTAGAGCTTTCCAAATGGCAACAAGTCGGATCCGGAGGGAAGGAGCTCCAAGGTGGGAGGAGAGCATCTCTCTCATCCTTCTCTCTCCTTACCGGCTCTTTTCGAGACCGAGAGCTCTTTCTTGATTCTATAGGTGGTTGTGCATGGCCATTCTTAGTTGGTGGAGCGATTTGTCCGGTTAATTTCATTAACGAACGAGACCTCGGCATACTAACTAGCTATGCGGAGGTGACCCTCCGCGGCCAGCTTCTTAGAGGGACTATGGCCTTCTAGGCCAAGGAAGTTTGAGGTAATAACAGGTCCGTAATGCCCTTAGATGTTCCGGGCCACATGCATGCTACACCGATGTATTCAACGAGTCTATAGCCTTGGCCGATAGGCCCGGGTAATCTTTGAAATTTCATCATGATGGGGATAGATCATTGCAATTGTTGGTCTTCAATGAGGAATTCCTAGTAAGCACGAGTCATCGGCTCACATTGATTATGTCCCTTCCCTTTGTACAATGATCCTACCGATTGAATGGTTCGGTGAAATGTTCGGATCGTCGCGATGTGGGTGGTTTGTTGCCGACGACGTCATGAGAAGTCCGCTGAACCTTATCATTTAGAGGAAGGAGAAGTTATAACAAGGTTTCTATAGGTGATCCTATGAAAGGATCATTGTCGAAACCTGCCCGGCGTAACAACTTACGAACTTGTGGTCGAGCATGCTAGAGGCTGCAGAGGGCTCTTGCCCCCGCATCCTCGGGGTCACGGACGAGTGCATCCGCATCCGATGTAGGTCAAAAACAAACCCCGTTGAGAGAAGCACCAAGGAACTAGAGTACAAAGAGCGCACCCCGTCGTTGAATGGTGCTCTAGAGGTGCGTTTCCAATTTGCGAAAACCTAAACGACTCTTGACAATGGATATCTTGGCTCTTGCATCAATGAAGAACATAGTAAAATGTGATACTTGGTGTGAATTGTAGAATCCCATGAGCCATTGAGTTTTTGAATGCAAGTTACGCCCGAGGCCTCATGGCCGAGGGTACGTCTGCTCGGGTGTCACGCATCGTCACCCCCAAACCCCTATCGGCTAACGAGGGTGGGGGCGGATACTGGTCTCCCACATGTGCTTCCGCTCATGGTTAGCCCAAAATTGAGTCCTCGGCGATGGCCGCCACGACGAGCGGTGGTTGAGAGAACCCTTGAAAGCGGTCATGCGCATTCCCCGTTGTGCTTTGGGATATCCAAGACCCTCGAGCATCATCGGCTTTGCTAGGATGCTCTCGTTGCAACCCCAGGTCGGGCGGTACTACCCGCCGAGCTTAAGCATATCAATAAGCGAGAGGAAAAGAAACTTACAAGGATTCCCTTAGTAACGACGAGCGAACCGGGAGGTGCCCGGCTTGAGAATCGAGCGCCCGTGGCGTTTGAATTATAGTCCGGAGAAGCGTCCTCGGCGACGGACCAAGCCCAAGTCCCCCGGAAGGGGGTGCCGGAGAGGGTGAGAGCCCTATCATGGTTGGACCCTATTGCACCACGAGGCATTGTACTGCGAGTCGAGTTGTTTAGGAATGCAGCCCCAATCGGGCGGTAATTTCTATCCAAGGCTAAATACGGGCGAGAGATCAATAGCAAACAAGTATCGCGAGGGAAAGATGAAAAAGACTTTGAAAAGAGAGTCAAAGAGTGCTTGAAATTGTTAGGAGGGAATTGGATGGGGGATGTCGATGCGCCCCGATCGGATGTGAAACGGTGCCGAGCTGGTCCGCCGATCGGCTCGGGGCATGGACCGATGCGGATTGTGGTGGCGGCCCAAGCCCGAGCTTTTGAAACACTTATGGAGACGCTATCATTGGAATTATGGATTACGAGCACATGCCATCCGGACGTGCCTCGGCACCGGCGTGCTCCGGGCATCGGCTCGTGGGCTCCCTATTTGTCCCATCTTGAAACACGGACCAAAGAGTCGACATGTGTGCGAGTAAACCCGTAAGGCGTAAGGAAGCCGATTGGTGGGATCCCATTGAGGGTTGCACCGCTGACCAAGCTTGATCTTCTAAGAAGGGTTTGAGTGAGAGCATGCCCGTCGAGACCCGAAAGATGGTGAACTATGCCCGAGCGGGGCGAAGCCAAAGGAACTCGGTGGAGGTCCGCAACGATACCGACGTGCAAATCGTTCGTCCGAGTTGGGTATAGGGGTGAAAGACTAATCGAACCTTTTAGTAGCTGGTTCCCTCCGAAGTTTTCCTCGGGATAGTTGGAGCTCGGTGCGAGTTCTATCGAGTAAAGCCAATGATTAGAGGCATTGGGAGCGCAACGCCCTCGACCTATTCTCAAACTTTAAATAGGTAGGACGGTGCGAGTCTGCTTCGTTGAGCTGTGCCATGGAATCGAGAGTTCCAAGTGGGCCATTTTTGGTAAGCGGAAGCGGCGATGTGGGATGAACTAGAAGCCGAGTTATGGTGCCCAATTGTGCGCTAACCTAGAACCCACAAAGGGTATTGGTCGATTAAGACGAGCAGGATGGTGGTCATGGAAGTCAAAATCTGCTAAGGATTGTGTAACAACTCACCCGTCGAATCAACTAGCCCCGAAAATGGATGGTACCGAAGTGCGTGACCTATACCCAGTCGTTGAGGCAAACGCCGAGCCCCGATGAGTAGAAGGGCACGAAAATCGCTACAAAACCCGGGTGCCGGCCAGGTGGAGCGGCCATCGGTGTAGACCTTAGTGGTAGTAGCAAATATTTAAATGAGAACTTTGAAGGCGAGAAGAGGGAAGCCCGTCCGACGGTGCATTCGAGTGCGAGCTTCGAAAGGGAATCGGGTTAAAATTCCTAAACCGGGACATGGCGGCTAACGGTAATGTTAAGGAGTTCGGAGACATCGGCGGGGGCCTCGGGAAGAGTTATCTTTTCTATTTAACAGCCCGCCCACCCCGGAAACGACTTAGTCGGAGGTAGGGTCCAGCGGCTGGAAGAGCACCGCACATCGCGTGGTGTCCGGTGCACCCCCGACGACCCTTGAAAATTCAAAGGACCGAGTGCCTCCCATGCCCGGTCGTACTCATAACCGCATTAGGTCTCCAAGGTGAACAACCTCTCGGTCGATGGAACAATGTAGGCAAGTTAAGTCGACAAAATGGATCCGTAACCTTGGAAAAAGGATTGGCTCGAGGGTCGGGCTCGGGGGTCCCGATGTCGAACCCGTTGGCTGTCGATGGAATGCTCGAGCCGCTCTCGCGATGAGAGCGGGCTATCGCGTGCCGGCTGGGGGACGGATCGGGAACGGCCCCTTCGAGGGCCTTCCTCGGGCGTCAAACGGTCGACTCGGAACCGGTAAAGACAAGGGGAATCTAACTATTTAATTAAAAAAAAGCATTGTGATGGTCCTTGCGGATGCTCACGCAATG